TCTGTAGAATAAAAAAACAGGAAGACAGCCCGGCTGGTATGGATCAGTGGTTGAGACTCAATCCATGAAGCAGGAGGTCATAGTTTGATTCCCTGTCAGGGCACATGCCCAGGTTGTGGTCTGGATTCCCAGTACAGGGCGTACAAGAGGCAGCCGATCAGTAATTCTCTCTTCCTTTCTCTGAAATCAATAAAAACATATTTTAAAAAACACATTAAAAAAACACACACACACCATAACCGGTTTGGCTCAGTGGATAGAGCGTTGGCCTGCAGACTGAAGGGTCCCAGGTTCGATTCTGGTCAGGGGCGTGTACCTTGGTTGCGGGCACATCCCCAGTGGGAGGTGTGCAGGAGGCAGCTGATCGGTGTATCTCTCCCATCGATGTTTCTAGCTCTCTATCTCTCTCCCTTCCTCTCTGTAAAGAATCAATAAAATATATTAAAAAAGAAAGAAAGAAACAAGTTGGGGACACATAAATTCAGAGAGACTTACTCATAGTCACATGAAGAAGTGATGGACCAAAGCCTCTACTGTGTTTTCCCCCACAACTGTTTAACCTCGTTAATTAATGGAAAACAGCATTTCTGATTAATAAGAAATCCCCATCAGTCACCAAATTCATTCCTGAAAGTTTTTTTATATTATTTATTTATTTTTTAAGAGAGGAAGGGAGAGGGATAGAAAGTTAGAAACATCGATGAGAGGAAACATCGATCAGCTGCCTCCTGCACAACCCCTACTGGGGATGTGCCTGCAACCCAGGTACATGCCCTTGACCAGAATCGAGCCTGGGACTCTTCAGTCGGCAGGCTGACGCTCTATCCACTGAGCCAAACCGGTCAGGGCCTGAAAGTTTTTTTGAGTGTTACTTCTTGGACACTTTAACATCGAAGCCAGGACAAGAAAATACACTCTTTAAATATTTACTAAAAAAAAAAAATCTTTTGTTTAATATTTAAAATTTTCATCTTAGTGGAGCTGTTTTCTTTTGGGAAAAGACTTCCTTGATTAGTATATTTTATTCTTCTTTCTCATATATTGCTATCTCTCTGTGGACTGGATTGGAATTTCTTTGGCAATTAACCTTTCCTTGTTTTAATAACTTTTTAAATGGTGGTAAAATAACACATAACATAAAATTTACCATTTTTGTCAGTTTTAAATGTACGTTTCTGTGGGTTAAGTACATTCACATTGTTGTGCAGCCATCATCACTATCCATCTGCAGAACTTTTTCATCAGCCCAGACTAAAACTTGGTACCCAGTGAACACTACCTCCCCTTTCTCCCCCAAGGACTATTGTTTTTAAAGGAGATAGATACCTTTAATAAGCTTAGTTTTCTTTCATGAATGAGCACATAATTGTTTCAGGGATATGAGGAAAAGGGATATTTGTTAATATAATGACAAATGCAGAACCTACTGACAAAGGTATATAATTTGTAAAAATAGCTGAGTGGGCAGAATTCTGATTTTCAGTTGCCTTAGGCACTTCAGTGCACTTCTGATGATGATTTTCCTTGGGCTTGTAGTTATCCTGATGGAAATCACATCCACGCATAAAGAGTGAGCTTAATTATACATAACTATGTATGATGATGAGGTTTTACATTTTTTTACATATACTTTCTTATTTACAAAAGAGGAGACACTAATTCTAACTCATCTCAAAAAAGTCATGTGTGTCACCCTCAGAGCATGAGAGTTTATTGTATGTTATCCTTTTTGGCAAGAAGACACTATATAATTCTTTGGAGTTTATGGATCTCCTGCAACAAGGCAACTCTTAACCAACACCTGATAGGTGGCGTGGAGGAAGGGGTCTGAAAACTCAATTCCCTTACTTAGAGTTGGAAAAATTTGCCCAGCCCCGGTCTGGGAGCTGTTTTCCTTATATGGGGCCTCCACAGTCCCCTCTGGTCCTTGTTGTGAGTGAGGACAGGGAGGTACACAAAGGCTGAGTTAGGGTTTAGGGTGGTGGAGCAAACTCACTATTGCAAATGACACTTCTTTACATCCTCAGCTGATTTGTACAGAGCCTAATCATTTAAGCTCAACATAGTTCAAATTAAAAGCAGCTGGAATTGTTTGATTGCTAATGTATGCCCCAGGCACTGTGCTAAATGCTTCACATGTATGACTCCATTTAATCCTCACAATCCTAGGAGATAGGAATCAAATTTCCACATCACTGATGGGGAAACTAAGGAACAGAAAGATACATAACTTGCCAAAAGCACACAGTTTATAAGTAACCAACTGAGGGTTCAAACCCAGGCCGTCTAGAGGCCTTGTTCCTGGCTACTCTGTTAACACGCGCTCCTGGTCCAGATCAGGTTTGACAGCAAGGTTTCTTGTAAGAGAGTCAGGGCTACACACACACACACACACACACACACACACACACACACACACCCCTGTGTGGTGAGGTGACAGGGGAGTCCGAGGGAAGGTCAGGCACTGGGTTTGGAGGTAAACGCTCTCTAGCAAGGGAGGGAAATGGGAAAGGCACGGTTATCTCCTCCTTCCCTGTTTGTTACCTGGTCGGTGAGAGGAGGTGGGGAAGTCTCTAAGCTGATCCCAGAGGAGTCAGGTCATTCTCTGTGCTCCTCTCTTATTTTCTGCCCCTTTGCCCCAGGTCTCCAAATAGCTGCCTCCCCCTCAGAACTGCTCTCTCTTGAGAGAGCCACTTTTCCAGAACGTAACCCTCAAGTTCTCTCCTACCGCCCAGGCCTCCTGAGCAGCCAGCATTCTTCTGAGCGGGTTGTTAGGACAGAGCTGGGCTTAAATGACCGGCTCTAAGGTGGGCATGACTGCCCTCCTCACAGTTCCCCGGTTCTCCCAGGAACACAGCCCCGTCTGCGTTCCTGAAGGAAGTCTCAATGCAAATGACTCCCTCAGTGAGGGGACATTTCTGGACAAGGAGATCTTGACGGATCCTGCCAGAAATTCAGGATGCATAGTGCCTGTGTCCCAGCACCGGGAGTGGGCCAGGGTGACCTAGGAGCTTCGGGACTCAGCGGAGATCCCGGCCCACTCGACCTCTGGTCCCCTCCACCCTCTAGTGGGGCCAGAAACACTCCCCTGAACCCTGCTCATGGTTTCTGCTCTCAGGTACAGTCGTCCACACACAACTGAAAGTGAGGAGAGGTAACGTTTCCTGGGAAGATTCCTAACTCCAAATAAGATGCTTGCAGATGATCTCATAATTTTTGTGAGTTAAAGTCATGTTTCAGGAATAAGCACTTTATATCTATAGGTGGCATATCTGTGAATAATTGTGTATCT